CTGCTTCTCAAACTCTTCCATCTTACGAGTGATTAACGCTTCCAGGGACCTCTGAGTTTTGGCAATGTCATCAATTGTGGCCATAGTGATGAACAAAATTAACAAATGATGATAGAATCAAGAATGATTATAGAAACAAAATGTGCTCCAGCAGTGTGGTGCAATTGCACTTATTTATCACTCACCCACGAATATTTTTTTTCCACCTGATGGTAAGTGGTTGCTGTGGCCCATAAACACTACATCTATCCTCAATTACAAATCAAAATGCAGATGCGTTGTCACCCGTGAGGACTAAGATGGAATGCCTCGTTTCCAGTAAAAAGGGTCTCCGGTTCTCTACACTCACCATACGAAATACAGCAGCATTAAGCTACTATTTCACGCTGGTATTCTGTGAGAGCGTGGTCCTTCCCCGGTCGAGCCGACCCATTCGTGCTACAGCTATACTACTAATATAACTGCAGCATGGCTCTACCATGTATAAAATATTATATTTAGTAAATGCGAGTCTAGAGATTTAATTCTCTTTCGAGTATCGAGATTTAATTTTTGCTTTAACTTCGTAGTGGCCATCGTTATTAAGCCCCCCAGAATACGTGGCACTGTTGAAGTTGGAAAGCTTAGGAGCTAGTGCAATATGCACCGAAAAAGCTGATCCGGATGTTGATCTCGAAACCATGGAAGGCGGTACGTTGCTGTCTCCAGAACACGAGGAGCTGCCCGAGATTGAGAGCCTGGGAAGAGATTCTTCTTTTTTTGTAAGTATCTTGATTTTTTTCTTCTTTTTTATTAGTAGCAAACCGTAGCAAATATGATTGTTGATAATTAATATAAATTTGTTAGGCATATAGGTTGAAACACAAGTTGCTACCGGGAACAAAATGTCACTTCAAAAGAAGGTTTGGTCTATTTCTGAAGTCTGTGATAATATGAAGCATGATCATCGTTATGAATGTTAACCTGGGACAAATAGTCCGACTAGGTAAGTTCAACTTCGACCGAGATGTCAATTCATGGGTTCAAATCGGCTAGGCAGCGTTCGGAATATTACAACACATCTTCTCGTCAGGCATACCTCAGAACTAGATTATACGACCAGTGCATGTTGCCAGTGATCACCTATGGATCTGAGACGTGGTACTTCACTGCTGGCCATATGAGGAAGCTCGAAGTTGCTCAGAGAGCTATGAAGAGGGTTATGCTCAGAGTTTTTCTGCGCAATACACTTAGGAATGAGGATATCCGCAGTAAAACCAGAGTGACCGAGATCGCTCAACTGATAAGTAAGCTGAAGTGGTAATGGACCGGCCATATATCTCGAAAAACCGATAACCGATGGAGAAGAAAAGTTCTCGAGTGGCAGCCTCGTACCGCTAGGTGAAGTGTAGGACGTCCCCCACTAGATGGAGTTACAACCTGATAAGACTTGCAGGAAGTTGATAGATACAGGTGAATCAGGACCGTGCTTTGTGGCATTCCTTGTGGGAGGCCTATGTTAAGCAGGGGACTTAAGCAGGGGGAAGGGCTTTAATGATGATGAATGATAATGGCTTCATATTAATATGATACATAAATAGAATGGACGTTACGGGTAGAAGCCATCTATCCATAATCTTTTCTATTTATTTAGGTATAGGTAGTGTATATAATTTTTAACGATATATTTTGTCACACTGTCTTATCCCTGTTATTAGTTCCATGGACGTCCACTTCTGCTGTCAGCGCCAAAATGGCGCAAATCAAATTGCCTCATCATGTCACGGTATACAGCCAGCATGGAGGTTAGGGAGAAAGAGAATGATCGCTACGTGCTAAAGCATAGCCCGCCTGTCCCTGAACTGCTATCGATAAGTAGTATCTGCGAAGTTAGCTTTTTATGAGTACAGGTAGATGAAGTTAGTTGAATAATGTACAAAATTTCTTCGCGGCGTTGGTGAGAAAATAATCGTGCTCCGTAATTCTTTAATTTTTACAAAAAGAAATTTTAAAAAATGGTGAAATATTGTATTGTGCGCGGATGTGCGAGTGGTTTATCATCTAATCGAAAAATAGACTGAAAATGACTTTAATTCATACAACTTAGCGGTTGCAGTGCCTCACTTATTTTGTCCATACTTCTTGGACTGTATTTTATACAGCAATTGTTCTCCTTCTGTTTAAAATCCTTGATAGCCAGTCGAGCGTACTTGTATAAATAGAGGTCAGTGATCCATTATAATAAAAATATAAATTACTTCGCAACCTTCCGCTAACTAAATACAATGATGTGTCTTATCGTCCCAACACCACTACTCCCGGCACCACTACTTCCAACACCACTATTCCAGGTAAGACACATCATCGACGATAATACGACACGTGTTTCGCCTCTACAGGAGGCATCCTATGGTGATGTAGACTCTACGCGGCTGACCGCTAAGCGCTAAGGTGCTGGGACTAGTGGTGACGGAGTAAGACACATCATTGTATTTAGTTAGTGGAAGGTTGCGAAGTAATTTATATTTTTATTAAGATCCTTACTCAGTCATAGGGATGGACAAGTAAAAAAAGTATATATATATATATATATTGAATCGCTATTTTTAAACAGTATCAATATATCGTGTGATAAATATCGATATAGCGTCATGTTTTGCAGGATGTAGTAGGATAAGGGACAAAACTTGTTTTAACGACGAAAAACCACGACTATTAATATTAAAGAAAAGACAAGGCCTCTCCTCTCCTCCTCTTAAGATATGGGTGAAAGAACATTTAAAATTTAGGGGAAATCATTCAACTGGAGCCGAACGAATTCCGAATACCTGAGAATGGGGTAAGAGGAGTTCGAGGAGCTATTTTGATTAGTTCTTTATTTCGAAAAACGAAATACGGCTTTAAGGCAGAGTGCTAGCTAAAGATAACTTGTGACTTTAAGATGTCTACCTGTATATGCGCGTATTTTTGTGCGCGCGATTTGTGTTTCAAGGAATATTAATTTGTTTCTTTAACAAAATAATTTTTTATTTAGAATTTTATGATAGCTAAGTTATTTAAGAATATTTAAACTATTACAAAGCTTATGCACCTAACCCTTATAACTAGAGTGATGTTGTTTTGTAGTGTGCTATATTTTTACTATATTATATTTTGTTGTTAAATATTGGTACTTACTAATTTATAAAAACCAAAAATACATAAGTATATATTATATACTAAATATACCTTTTTATTTCAATCCTACCTGCAAAGTTTAGTTACGATAGTTGTCACAACCCACCAAAGATTTAGAAAAACAAATTAGTAAAAAGTAATTTGTAACAAACATTTACTCTGTTTCGTCCTGCTGCTTTTTGTTGCGTAACTCGAGTTTAGTTCGAGTTGTACGAATTTCAACTTGAGTTAACTCTTGTCATAATTTTTCCGAGTAATCATATCTATAGGGTGCAACATTGCCAATTAAAATCAATTATGAACGATATATCGAAATTTTTCGACGCTTTTTTATCACCATTTAAATATATATATCCGCACTGTAAGTGTAAAAGTGAATTTTCAATGAATGTTTCTTACGTGACATATCAAATTTCTAAAATTTTAATTAAATTATATATTGTTACTTCAGGCTCAGAAGAGTTAGAACCTAGAGCCCCATAGGCAGTTAATAAAAAAAGTGTATCTATGGTAGTGAATATATACTCTTTGGCAACAATCATCTGGTCCAGATTAGGGATGATCGCTGTTGCAGAAACATCGATGATGACATCGATGTTGGTATCGATAGCTTAACATCGATGTTCGAAGTTTATCCTGCTCATAACATCGATGTTGGCCATTATGGATGATTTATGCACGTGTACTTATTTAATAGGCGAGAAATAAAAAAATAGTCATGTGGTTTATGGTTTAGTGTCAGAAATTTAAAAAATGGGAAGATGTTAACAAAAACCTAGTTCATTTGTTATAATATTATAGTCTAATATTTCTTGCCGATCATGATGAATTTTACTATTTTGATTTTTAAATGTTCTACACATTCACAAATCTGATATAAAAAATTTACTATGTTACTTAATTTACGACTTGGACTTAGTTTTTATATCAACTACTTTTATCACGAAAGAAAAAATATGGTTTTAGAGAAAAAATTAACAAACCACGCAAAAACAAAATAATAGACTTTTCCGTTACCTTTGTTCACAAATTTTAATCAGACAGCCTAAGCAGTAGGTATCCACACACGTTTATAAAATGCACTGTCGAATGCACTATGCAGTGAAATTGTCTATTTTCACGCTTGTTCAGTGATCTTTTTTCATAAACTTCAAGTTCTAGCAAAAAAATTTACTCATTATGATAAGCTAAATAATGTAACTAAATGTGGTTGAATTGTGTAGATACTTACATATTGTTTCAAGATTATGTGGGTATAGACAGCAAGAGAAAAACAATTCATTTGTATATCAATTTACATAGAATAGTTGTTAGGCGACAACCGACAACGTTACTACAGAATAACAAAGCGGAAGCAGTTACAACTGTGACATTACAATTCACTCTTGACAGTGAAGTTTGACACACCATAATGATATTTTTTTAGGTGATCGATGCATGATGAATTATTCTAAATTTTAAACCTTTAATAGAAGATGCAAGATTTAATTGATTTAGATTTCACGTGTTCGCGTTTTTCAGAGGTTCCTATTAATTGGTTTTGGGTTCATTGACATCGATGTTTGACATGTGGCAACATCGATGTTTCGATATTTGACACGTGGCGACTACGATGTTTTAATTTTTAACATCGATGATCGTCGAACATCCCTAGTCCAGATAACAATAAAAATACTAAAAATGTTGAAAAAAGTGGTATAAACCGAGTTTATTATGATTCTTTTGGTTCACTTTTTTAATACTAATAGTAATATTCAACACTTCAAACTGCCTGAAAATGTTAGCCAATACCATTTAATTGGAAATCTTATTTCTGTATTTTTATCGTTTTTGAATGACGTGTAATGTTTCCAACGGTGGACTCGGAAGATATTTCGCAGGTCACGTCATTAAAAGAAAAACAAAGTCTTTCTAGCGATGTGCGAGATTCGTCAGAAAATTCTCAAGTGGCGAAACAAAACAATAACAGAGAGTTAACTGTCAATATGTTGATAAAAGAAATGATTTTTTGCATTGCCTTAGCATTGACTACCTATGGAGCTCTCCATACTACGTACGTTTTTAGACTTATGTTACTTATTAGAACTATGTATTCTAGATCTTTGTTCTAATAACTATTAGAAAATGTGACTATAACACGCTTATAAGTTTATTCGGCGAATTGCTGTTTATTAGTCTTAGAACATCAGTGCCCCTGCTTATAACTTCTGTAATAAACACAACATTCAATAGATATTAATTACATAAAATTTTGAATGTGAAATACATATATACATTTATTGCAGCCCTTCTAAAGTTTCCAAGCATCCACAAGCAGTAAATTTTTTTAATTCAGGCTCTGTAGTAAAGGACTGGTATAGAGGTCAACTTGGCAATGCACTTGCTGCTGTCAATATTGCAGATGTGTCATTTATTATGTATTATGCCCCATGGGATGCAGAATCACAATATGTCAGGGGAGAGTTTGAGTTGGCAGCTAACATCCTTAGTGGCCGGGTAATTATTCTTATTATAATGATTTCTTAAATTTATGTGAACACTACACATTAAATAAAACTATATATACAGATTTTATACCATTTAATTTACGTATTTTAAATTATTTTTGATTCTCGATGTTTCGGGTGCTTTACAGCACCCGTGGTCACAGGGGGACTGAAATGTTTGACATCCCAATGTCATAATTAACCAAGCTACCTTCAGTTTTTGAATATAAATTTTTGGTCCAATTTGTGCAGAATGAGCTTACAGTATCTTGAAGTTTTGCAGTGGTATGCTTGGGTTTAGGTTTAATTTTGTTTGTTATTCGCTCAGGCTGCCGACCGCGCACCCCCGCAGCGCATCTAAATGGCCTTGTCAATGGACACAAATGGCGCATTGGGTATTGTTTACAAAAAACGTTATTTATGACTACATGGGGAATGACCCTTGACTGCTGGTTTTTTAAAGGGAATGAATGAATCTTTATTTCTGTACAAGTGCTTTTAAGATTTATAGATTCTTTTAAAAAATAATTAGTGCTAAAGTAGGAAAGAAACAAATTTAAAGCGATGACCGATATATTTTATATTTTTAAATGCATTGTAAATATATTCTTAAGCAATATTTATAAAAAACACACATTGTCGTGGAGAATTTTTTTTTTCAAGACTAAAGTTCTGTAAGAATTGAGTATGAAAAATTGTTTTCTCAAAAAAGTAATTAATATTTCAATAAAACTGGCACTTATGACTAAAATATTGATATCATCTTTATGAGTATGAAATACTTTATGAGATTTGTAAAAAGAAGCAATTAGCAATCTATTGAAAGATTACTGAATCATGTAAGGAAAAAGAGAGGTTCAACTAGTCCCAGAAAAAAAAACCACATGTTTCTTCATGAATTTAAGCATATATTTTAAATAAAAAAAACAATCATTAAATACTGTTTTTAATAAGCTTTCTAACAGTGTATTACACTTCTTTATTCATTAACATCAAAAAGTAATTAACAATAAAATCACATAAGTCATCTTGAGACAATCTGAAGATGACAAATGTCAATTGCTTTTTTTATTTGGCAGATGGATATGAGTGTTGTTAGAACAAAAAAAGATTGGGAATTTAATACAGAATTACATAAAAATCAAGATGCACTAATTTAAACTGTATTACATAGGCAGGAAGACCTTTTAGAATGCAAGGTTGTTTGGGTACTGAATTAACCATAGCCATTTTGCACCATTTTCGATTTTGGTAATAGACTACCCATTGCCACTTGAGCTGTTACAGGATCACAAGCTGATGGTAACCTATCCATCTTCTCTGTTAAAATTAGGATGTTTTTAATTTCAATAGCCTCGTGTATCAGCCTTGGTAGGAATCAATGTTCCTTTGTGAGGATTTATGGTTTATCAAATCTGATGTAATGGTGGAGACGATCTTGAACATGTTCACAGACTACAGACTACCCATGGTCACTTGAGCTGTTAAGCAGATGGTAACCCATCCATCTTCTCTATTAAAATTAGGATGTTTTTAATTTCAATGGCCTTGTGTATCAGCCTTGGTAGTTCAATGTTTTTTGCGAGGATTTATAGTTTACCAAATCTGATCTTGTGCTATTAGTTATTACAAATTTTTACACATTTACCATAAAAGAAAACTAATAGGCCATGGCGAGGAAGAAGATGGTGGATGGTTTCTATTTACCGTAACAGAACCAGGTATGGTGAAGAATAGAGTATGCTCTCGTTTTGATCGTGAGACTCACAAGACCCTTTGACTCGAGTCCAAAAAACCGACAGATTTCCGAGAGCGATCAAGGGCTGCAAGACGCACCGCGACATGACGAGAGCACCATGTACATACTCGTACTCTGCCTGTCTCATGGTGTCTCGACGAGCATTATAAATATTGAAATTGTTAGTTAATTGTTGTAATTGTTATATGTGAGTTTTGTAGTAACAGAAGACTGCTTTTGTGTGTGAAGATTTCCCCTCAAAAAATTATAGACAATTCTGGATTGGGGAAAAGGCAACTCCCCTCCATACCGGCCTATGTTGCTCTATGATTCATTGTGCAAAAAAATATTATTTCTTTGAAATAAATTCCTAAAGTGTAACTGCGAAATTAAACTGAAAAGAAAAATTTTTGTAGGGTTAACAATTACCCGCCCTGTGAGTGACAGTAGTAAATGTCAACTCTTTTATAATTGGGAAATCCCCAAAGTTAGTTTGAAGTACCTACATTACAAATTTTGACTACTGTCAGTGACGGGTGTACATGCATCGTCAGATAAGCCGATCAGCCGACAAAGACTAATTGACCTGCAGAGCCTACCATTTGTGTCTCAAATGGTATCTCAAACCTTCATGCTTAAGTCTTTAAATTGCATAATTTCTCGGGAAGCACTAAAGAAGGAAGCTTCTAAAAAGCGCTTTGTGCCAAACCCGGTCGAAAGCCGTCGCTGGTCCAAACTGACTACCAGGGCTTCTCCCTTGGTCTTGGTTTCCTCCGCCCATAGGTGTCAGGTGTACAAAAAGATCACCAGCTGAATGCCCTCGACGGAAACTGTTTACTGCAGTTGATGCTTCTCAGTTTACCTCTCAATAAAGGAGGTAATGAGACTAGGTCTGTAGTTAGGTTAGTTACATTGTTAGTTAGTTAAGGAACGACGGCTAAACCGAATTGGGGGGATTCCATTCTGCCCACTCGACTTATATATCCGGCGCATTGAGCACTGTGTTGATCGAATATCCCGCATCGGCATCCACATTGCAGGATAGTCGGCAGTGTATCCGCTTCATCGAGAGTCGAGTTGGGCGCAAAAAGAGAACCTTAATGATTGCCTTTTTTCTTTTCGGTTTAGGCCAGCGAGTCATTTTCTCTGTATAAAAATGGTAATGATGGCCTTGGGCAGCCTCAGCCGAGATCAGAATTCACGAGTTCCCGAAAATAGTTTCTCGCCGATCTTTTCTGACTTTGCCTTAGCGTTAACTCTTTAGAAGGACTTGAAGGCACAGTTGTACTTCTTTTTGAGTGCGCTAGTGTTTGCATTCCGATTTCCGAGACGCAGATGTGTCGGCCCCAGGCCTGGTAACACCTGCTTTTTTTAACGACGAAATTTTGCAGGAGCGACCAAACGAAGTTCTGCCTGCAGTAGGCACTACAGATGACGGGATGAAAAGCCATCCATGCTTCACATTGGCGACATACTGCAAAGGTTTTGGGATCATACAGCATCAAATCTGACCCCATGGCCAGGATGCACATACACGGCGGTAGCCTACAGATTTTGCCTATAATGAGGATGTCATAGTTATCATACTCCAGTTCAGTCAGTATTTAGTATATAGTTCAGGCTAGAAGTTCGAAGAGCCAAGTGGAGCATCGATGTAGACGAGGGTTGAGTGGGCGTAGAAATCGTCAAGGAGCACAACCTCTGCGAATGGGATCTGTTGTAGCACGTATTCTGTAGCTATTTAGATGTGGTCGATGAGTCAATCTGTCTCGGCATTACCGCTGTGGGATTTAAAAAGGCACCCATAGACGAAAGGTGCCCATACATGCTGTCTATGCATGCATGACCAAACGATGGACATATTCTTACAGCTATTTGCAAAAAATTGAACTTTAAATAATTCAACTTATAAAATTTACATTTTGGCTTTGATGTTACATAAACAAATATACTACTCATAATTTCCTTTTCTTGTTCTTTCTTAACTTTCTGTGAACTAAATATTGATATGTGCTGTGTATTGGCGGCTAATGTATTTTCTCCTGGGATGCATTTATGACTTGCTTAAAATAAACATTATCCATGCTGCAGTTATATTAGTATTATAGTTGTAGCACGAATGGGTCGGCTCGACCCGGGGAGGATCATGCTCTCACAGAATATCAGCGTGAAATAGTAGCTTAATGCTGCTGTGTTTCGTATGGTGAGTGTAGAGAACCGGTAAAATTTTTTACTGGAAATGAGGCATTCCATCTTAGTCCTCACGGGTGACAACGCATCTGCATTTTGATATGTAATCGAGGATAGATGTAGATGTCTATGGGCCGCAGCAACCACTTACAATCAGGTGGACTGTGTACTCGTTTGTCACCCTATCCTATAGAAAAAAAACCACACTATTATTTCAGTTCCCGTTAATTAATCCTCTCTAAGGAAACTACGCATTCCCTATTCATGAAGCATAGCTATGACGAGAGAGGGAAACTAGAACAGGGGATGTGTATAGCGCTATCTTACTGATAACAATTTAATAATTTAATAATGATACTGTGGTCTAACTCGCTTAGTAAAGGTGGAAACCATGGCAATATACATCCCATATGAGATCAGTCTATGGCGAAGACATATATATATGTGTGTGTGTGTATGTAGCTATTGGTATACATATATATATATATATATATATATATATATATATATATAGCAGTGAACTTTTAGATTTAAATAATAATATGTAATAGTATGGTTGTTTTCCTGCAGGTACATTTTGCTGCCATCAATTGCTGGAATCCTGGAAGTGAATGTAGATTACAACACAACAAAATTCCGTCATGGCCTATTCTAATGGCTTATACTGTTAATTCAAAAGGAGTGCTTTATAAAGGTAGATGTGGTTTATTACAGCATATCCAAGAGATATTATTATTATATACGTTTACAATATTTATTTTCGATAATACTACGAATATTTGATATTGATATTTTGTTTTAGGCCCTAGAGATGCACACAGTATGGTTAACTTTTTGGAGTTAATTATGAAACCTTTGGAAAGAGTATCTTCAACTGAAGACTTAGTACATTTATTGTCTATTTATGATGTAAGTATTTAATAATCACACTGACATATATGTTCAGAAATACAATTTTTTTTAATTTTTTTTAATTGATTTTATTCTAGGCTGTAGCTATTGGTTTCACACCTCTTACAGACACATCAAAATATTATAATATATGGTACAATGTTGCCTTAAAGTCACGGGAATTTGACACAGTTGGGGAAATATGTTTTGCTGTTGTTACATCAGCAGAGTTGGCAATGGATCTTGGTGTGGAAATTTTGCCCAAGGCTCGTCTTATGCTTTGGAATGACACTAAGGTAAGTGGTTTAAAATAACATCTTTCGACCTAATATATATATATATATATATATATATATATATATATATATATATATATATATATATATATATATATATATAATAATTATTTTAAGCCTATGAGTATATGAGACTCGGTAACTTAGAGGATAGTGGTGGCTATAATATTTCATATTTTTTTATAGAATAAGTGTGACAAACGAGCACATAGTCCACCTGATAGTAAGGGGATGTTGTGGCCAATAGACATCTATCTCTCAATCAAGAATCAAAATGCAGATGCGTTGTCACCCCTTAGGACTGAGAGTGAATGCCTTGTTTTCAGTTAAAAGGGTCTCCAGTTTTCTACACTCATTATACGAAACAACAGCATTAAGCTGCCATTTTACGCTGGTATTTTGTGGGAGCGTGGCCCTACCTCGATCGAAGCAACGCATTTGTGCTCAACTATAATATAGCCTCAGCATGCTCTACCACGTTGCAGTTTCATCCTCGCCAGTATCAATGAAGTTGTTAATTTCAATTTAACATGTTCAATGGTGAAGGCAAACAGCAAGATGCACGTCTGAGATATTAAAAAAAATCGAAGACGAGAAGTCCGCCAACACTAATTGGTGCAGGGAGGTCCTTAAATTCTTTCATAAGTGCGGTGAGGCCTGTTGCCCAGATGTGGGATAAAACACTTTGTGTGAAAAATTAATATGTATTTAACTTTGAATGTTAAAATATCAATTACATTTTTCCATATTTTCTTTTTATAATGAGCTCATACCATCGAAGGTATCATTTTATAAAATTGTATTTACCCTAAAATAAATATTTTTCTGTCTCTGTAGGAATTTAAAACAGAAGATGGCAATAATTCTTGGAATGAATCATCACTTATGCATTGGGTATTGGAGAATTTTTCTCAGCCTGTGGCAAGGATTATACCAATGTGGAAGAAATCATTTAGCTTTGATAGATATGCTGATGGCAGCCCAATGTTGTTGCTTTTTTACTCCTTTAAACCCCTTATATGAGCAGTTGCCTTCATATTCATTGGTAAGTGTCGCATGTTGACTTAGCAACTGGCAAAACTATGGTCAATATATTTGGTTTATAAATAATAAGCTTAAGACGTCAAGCTAAGAAAAAAAATTTCTTTTATAGCTACGTGAAGTTGCTATGGAATATTATAATTGTAAAAATAATGACAGCAACCAATGGATTACGGAGTTGATAAAATTACAACAGGTACAGAGATTAATCTATCAACAGAAAAACTTTTTGAAGTTTTGTCAAGAGTATAAGTTCAAAAATCCTATAAGAAAACCAAGCAAAATTTATAAAAAAGAAATTGTGTCAAATAATAATAAATATCCTTGGAATAATGTGACGCAGAAAAATCAGAAAAACGGGTTTATTAATTTTATACTGAAAAAGGGTCTAGCACTGACCAAAGCTATGGAGAGTGGAAGTGATAATTCACCTATTTGGTCTTCTTTGGGTATTTTGAATGAATGCACTACAAAGTTTTTACCTGCGGAGAAAAGTTTCTATGAAAACTATGAACAATGCCAGTTGTTTGAAGAAAATATGGACAAAGAACAAGAACTGGACACAAAACAGGAAAAGTAAGTTAATTTTTGGCATCTGTGGATTTACGAAATTGTTGAGAATATGTATATTAAGACGATGTTTGAGCGGCGTTTAATCCATACAAACATATTCCTCTTTTTTCTCCCTGGATAAATGACACTGAAATGACTTTTTGATGATATCTATGTATATCTACCACTACCATGATCCTATGTTTTTTTTGCATAAATAAATTATTTTTTAATAATGACTATCATACGGGGAATTTACAAGCGAGTTCAAAGTGACGCGTGCGCAGCGAGCTCCCTGCGAGTTTGCAGCGAACGCGCGGTGAACCCGCTGAGAAGATACCGCGCCACATAATAAGTAATAGATGGCGCGAATAGCGTTGTCGACGCCAGTTTGTAAGCTCCCGTTCAACTGCCCGCCCCACCCCACTTCAGTGATATCAAAGGGACGAGTGTAAGCAGTGTTTCCTCGTCAGAATTCATTCTGCTACTCTATATACATTACATCAACGACGTTTTAACCTCTCGTTAATTCTAGGTCCGCTCGCACTCGCCTCGCTTTGAACTCGCAAATCGCCAGTGTGATAAGGCCCTAACTGCCAAGTTATATATTAGATATCCAGAAAACAAATTAAACGAACATAAAAGAGAATGAGTCAAATAGAGACATGGCACAAACCTTATGTTGTTCTTGAAAAAAACATATAATTAGTCTAGTTTTGGAGGAGGAGACACTGAAATACAGAACGGTGATGATTTTATACCAAATCCAAGAAACACTATTAGACAGCTGTCACATTTATGGGGCTAGGCATTCCAACTGAAAAATACCAGATAACGATATCGATTTCTTAGATTTGGTAATCATTTACCAACTCTAAGGAATCGATATCGTAATCTAGATTAATAACAGAATAAATTAGGAACAGATAACGCAAAGCATAAAATTTATCAGTTATTTAATTTTTATTGCTTACTGTTAATTTCTAAAGATAAAGTTAAATAAATTAAAGACAGCACTAGATTAAAAACTAATTTATTTAATCATTAACTACAATTAGTTGAGTTGTCGTCGGGGGGCGCGGGGACGTTGCGGCGAGCGCGGACCCGGCCGCGGCCTCCCTGCCACACGAACCGGCCTCTTCCTCCACCGCCGGAGAGGAGCTATTCGGATACACTAGATAGGAACGTGATAATGAACATCTTCCTCCTTCTGAAACATCCCGGTCTTCCCCTTCCCTATCCGGCTCCCCCGATCGTGGTCTTATCTGGTCGACATGTCTATGAATAAAGACTTTATCAGCCCCTAGAATATAGTCCGTTTCTCCTAGTCTGGAGTGTACTTCTCCTTTTAACCATTTTACAATCGAGTTACGATAATCGCGGTACCACATGCGGTCCCCCGGCGCGATCTGCCGGCGACTGCCGCCCGCGGCGCGCGTCTGCCGCGCCTGCTCGCGCCGCACGCGGGGCCCCAGCTCCGGCTTCAGACAGTCGAGGCGTGTGCGCAGTGAACGACCTTGTAATAATTTCGCGGGGCTCACACCGGCAGTACAGTGTTCGGTGTTACGATATACGAGTAGAAACCTAATAAGCGCGATATCGATATTCACACCCTGTACCAGTGCCTTCTTTATAACCCGCTTGCCAATTCTAACCGCATTCTCAGCTGCGCCATTTGAAGCCGGGTGATAGGGTGCTGAAAATATGTGTTCTATACCGTTATCCTTAAGAAATAACTGAAATTCCTGACTAGTAAATTGCGGACCGTTGTCACTCACTATCTGTCTTGGCAGACTGATTCTAGCCCACATTTCCCTTAATTTGCTTATTAAATTTTTTGCCGAAATGGAACTCATAGCAGTGACTTCGACCCATTTAGAATGAGCGTCCACGGTGACTAAGTAAGTAGCGCCCCCTATCGGCCCTAAAAAATCGAGATGCAGTCGCGACCACGGGCGCTCTGGCCACAGCCACGGGCGCGGCTCGTGTCGCTCCGGCGCGTCCGCCACGCGCGCGCACACCGAGCAGGCGCGGCACACGGCCTCCACCGCCTCGTCGATCCCCGGCCATCACACGTAGCTGCGAGCGAACTGTTTCGTCTTAGTGATCCCCAAGTGAGCCTCATGTAACTCCGCGAGAACTTTCTCCCTGCAACTAGAAGGTATAGATCGTCTAAGCTGAAATGACGCGCCCCACTATCGCATTAACGCACACAAGCAAATTTAAAATATGGACGCAATACATATACAAATGCCATTGTAATTGGTCATTCGGTTGTCGGTGAGACTCAAGCGTAGGAGCACGCGTCGTTCGATTGTAAAAGTACCGTCAGCATGTCGACCAAAAAACATTTACGGAGTAAAGTAAGTAAAATAATACGTTATTGCTTAAAATCTTATTTAATCATACATCGTTTTTATGGTGGTTTACATGCATACATTTTACAGGCAAAAGAAATTACTGCGAAAGTGTACCGCAGAATGAAATATGAAGCGGAAAATGGAGTGGAAAAACTATCTGACGCTAGATGGCGAACTGCTCAAGCCGTTGGTGTTAGTGAATCTACGATTACACGAATTTTGAAAGAAGAGAAGCAAGCTAGTACATCAAATGATACGTCACAAAAAATTTTTAGATCGCCCTCAAAACCAAAAAAGGAAGCGTACCAAGTCTAACCTAGATGATTTTGATATGGGTATACTTCGCAGAACGATAGCGACATTTCATACAGAATTTAATGAATTACCAACGTTAAGAAAGCTGAAACAAGTATTAACAGAAAGAATTGGTTTTAACGGTTGTATAGAAACTCTGCGTATCATTTTGAAGGAATCGGGCTACGAGTGGTCCTAAATAGATGACAACCGTAAAGCTTTAGTAGAAAAGCATGATATCCAAATGTTACGTTTTCAATATTTGAGGCAATTAAAAAAATATCGTGACGAGGGCCGCTATATCGTATACACAGATGAAAGTTATGTTCATACAACACATCTGCAAAACATGTGCTGGAAACCAGTCAAAGGAGTATCAGCAGTGCAAAAAAGTTGTCGAAAGGTACTCGGGTTATAATTGTTCACGCTGGTGGATGTGAAGGATTTGTTCCAAATGCTAGTTTGGTGTATAAAGCAAACTACACAAGTGGAGATTATCACGACAACATGAATCTGGATAATTATAAGAAATGGCTCACCACACAATTACTGCCCAATCTCCCGGTAAAGGCTGTCATCGTTGTGGATAACGCTTCTTACCACAATGCTTTATTAGAAAAAGCTCCCAACTCCAACTCAAATAAGCAAGTCATGCAAACGTGGCTTGCAGAAAAAAATATTCAGTTTGACGAATCAATGAAAAAAATTGAACTGTACGATCTTATTTTAAAAAATAAGGACAGATTCAAGAGGTTCGTTATTGACGAACTGATTCAATCAAAAGGGTTTGAAATTCTACGACTACCACCTTATCACCCGGAACTAAATCCAATTGAAAATATATGGGGGATATTAAAAAAACTACGTGGCTAATAAAAATGTTTCACAAAATTTTACATCCATTATGTCACTTATAAATGAACGACTCGAAATGATTGATAGTACTATGTGGGCAAATGCATGTCGGCATGTTGAAGACACAGAAAAACAGTATTTGCAATATTTTGACATGGACTTTGAATTTATTATTTCTGTTAATGACTCTGATTCAGATGAAAGTGAATCTATGGAGATGAGTGAATAGTGATACTTTACATAATTTACATGCATATTATTATAGTAATTATACTAATTTGTAAAATAAATATTTCGAAAGAATATCAATCTGGTTTAATTAATCTACATAATTACCAAATAAAAACAATATATTTTGAACCATTAATTAACAAATAGAAGAAATACCATCATAATTAAATAATTTCAATTTCTTTGTAGACCGTATTTGCTAAGAAGCGGATTTTCTTGGATTTTTTGTCTAACTTGTCATAATTGCCTGAAGGTGGCAGAGAGCGGACGTTTTGTTTCATACAATGCCCCAACGCTGCTCCCTAAGGAGAGCGTTGTCGGATTTATCACGCGAGTAGCCGACCGTCACGTAGGCATACAGATCATAGTTCGCGGAGCAATCGACGCTCAAACACAGATGAAGCGTCGTTATTAATATTTACACTCACACATCGAAATCAACTAATTAAGTAGTGGGGCGCGTCATTTCAGTTTAGACAAGCTCTACCACTACTCTGTGACCCCACGTGACGCACCCCAGTTCCTCGTATAACTCTTCCTTTCTGTGAAAGTATGGTTTGATATCTTTTATTTCGATATCTTGCGGCCAGCCGTCCCGTATATAAACGAGGACCCGCCCGAGTATCGCGTCCCTCGCGGTTTCCCGCTTTAAACTATTATTGTCTATTAATAAGGCCTCTGACGCGAAAT